CAGTGGCTGTGGCCCACATCTCCATCCTTCACTTAGATCTGCATGACATCCACTGTCTACCAAATTATATAATCCCCTATCTCATCTCATTTCATTTGGAAAGGGAAAAGTCAAATATCAGCCTTGGCACTTTGCAGCTGCTAACCTTAGGCAAGTGCTCTTCAACTCTTGTGCCTCAATGTATGAACTACCTGTGAGATGCAGGTAATCATACTTCTCTCTTCACCCGGCATGGGAAGTGAGTGACAACACACACCATCTACAAGGCTCTGCACACAAATAAGTTCTCTTCCTCCTCTGTTGATGGGACCTGAGTGTTTTGAGTGGAGTTCAGAGCACAGAGACATCCTTCCTCTGTTGTAGCCTGTTGATTCGAGTGCTCGGAGGCTGGAAATAAACGGGCCATGTAAACATCAGGAAGACCAATGAGCATTTCACAGGCCACAGAGCTAGGCAGGCTGGGCCATTGCTATTTGCAAATTCACACTAATTGGTCATTACAGAAAGTGTACCAGTCTACTGCGAATTTACCACAGGATGTTTTTAATCATGTACCAATCCCTCACAAATTTCCTGTTCCCTATTACTCCATTCTCTAGCACTAACAGATATAACAAGGGGCCCACAGAAGCATTTCTGAGAAATGCCATTTCCAACAGCTGTACAAAGTGGTTTCTCGGAGCTGTCTCAGAGGAGGCCGTCTTGTGTACCTGCTGAGGGTACCATCAGACACGTTTCCTAAGCGCAACTGCAGAACACAGCACGAGTCCATTTCTCTCCTGTTCTTCCACCTTCCCTAACATCATCTACTGGATGGTGTTTAAAATGTTCCCTTTCCACAGTTCTTGTTATGGAAAGGCACTCACTCACCTGTCCCAGGTCTGCTCTTGAGGCTTGGGCTGATGCACCGGGAGCTGTTTCATCTATGCTGCTGCAAATACCTGGCTGTCCACACAAGGCACAACAGGCCTCAGGAATGTGGTGGTGGAGAAACCCCTTGCTACTGGTTCCCAGCTCTAAACTCATTGGGTACCAGTCAGTTAGCAAACACCTTCATAAGCCAGGCACCACACCAGACACCAGGGTCACAAAGGAGATGAAAATACAAACAGACGTGATCCTGGTTTTGAAGCTTATGGTATGAGGGAAAGACAGATGGACATTTCTCAGCGCATCATACAAACACAAGAAAGATGACACTGATAAGTTTAATGAAGAAATGTATGTGAGTGCATGAGAACATGTAACAAAGGAACCTTTAGGAGGTGATGAAGGCAGGGAAGGTTTCCTTGAGTAAATGCAACTTGAGCAAAAGAACTCAGGATTAATTAGCAATGGGGGAGAGAAAGAAAGCTGGGGAACAGTTTCCAGAGAGAAGAAATAAACGTGCACACAGGCCCCCTGGTGGGAAGGAAGGAGCAAGGCAAATCTGAAGCACTGGAAGTGAGAAAGGATGCAGTAGTGCCAGACCAAGTCGAAGAGGCAGGAGCCAGTGTGTGCAGGGAGATGAGACTCACTTAAGGTCTGTGGTCTCTATCTTAAGAGCAGCAGGAAGCCAGTGAAGACTTTACACAGAGGAAAGGGGAGGCATGACTGGGCTTGTTTTCTGGAAGCTGACTCTTGCTAATGACCAAGAATAGATTAGGAGGAGGAGAGGTGAACAGAGCAGGAGGGAAGAGATTAGTTAGGAAAAAAGAAATAGTCACTGTGCCGGGGAAAGATCACAGAAGCTTGGACTAGATTCAGGGGAGGTGGAGTTAAGCCAGTACCCGGGACAGGGCATGGTTAGATCCAGGGTGAGGGAAAGGGACAAGTCAAAGAAGAGCTCTCAGCTCTGGATCAGCAACTAAGTAGATGAGTGAGGCACCATGGGATGGAACCTGCTTTTGGAAACCCCAGGACTTCCATGAGGAAGCCACAGATGGGGATGGAGACCCAGGCTGAGGGAGCGGGCACAGACCATGTCTTGGTTGCACTGGATCATGTAAAAATTATCACTGTTGTTATCATTATTATGGAAAAATTATTTTTTATAAAATGCTTTCATCTTCATAGGGCTATTGGATTCTGACAATTGGTCTCTTGGAATTCAGCAATATGAGGGAGAAGTGATTCACAGTTAGGTGAATAAAAGGCAGGTGTCAGGGACCTTCCAGAGTTATCAGTAGTAGAGGACAGGACTCTGAAGATAATGTTCTTTTGAACAGATGAGATCATTTCTTATTTTAATTATTGCTTTTTAAGTCATAGGGTCTTTATTTCTAATGGATAAAAATCCAATATGGATAAAATATGGGTAAAATAATGGACAGCTGGTCCACCAAGATCAAGTGGGCAAGAGACAGTCAGAGCATCAGTGTTTCTTCTCCCTCTCCCTTTCATCCAAGACCTCATGGAAGTCCTGGGGTTTCCAAAAGCAGGTTCCATCCCACGGTGCCTCACTCCTTCAATTCCCAATTGCAGTGGATTTCGCAACAGGCCACACCGCAGGAGCATGTTAAGTTGTTCCAAATTTGGCTGCAAAGGGAGGTGGCCCGTGTTCAAGAACCTGCCATGTGGCAGGCACTGGGTCACCTCATCTGACCCTTTACTTAGAGGCTGGCACAGTCCCCACCCATTTGACAGCTGAGAGTGCCACAGTTCAGACCCAGCTAGATCATTCTGTAGTGGTAAACCAGGATTCGAGCTTGAGGTATTTTCCAACCACTTTATGTGAGTGTGTGTTTTCCAGTGCAGCAGGTGCAGGCTTGCAAGGGGCACAGCACTGGACCGCCAGGAGAAAGGCGAATGCCGAACGCAGAGGCAGAAGCAGTCTTCTGTGCCAGCTGCTGCTCCTCCTCCCCTGTTGCTTTTCCCCAGAGTATTGGCTCCAAGACCCTGGGAGACAGAGTGGCTTGCTTTCACCTTAATTAGCGTGGCAATTTGCTAAATTTTGTTTTTCCCTTTTTAAGAGTGTTAATCAATTTTAGCTCAGAATAGATTGGAATGGCACGCAAATTACCACGACAATCCCCAAATGCTAAATTCTGAACATCTCGATCAACCTCGAAGCCTGAAATATGTGAAAATCAGACACTCTGGCCGGCATCTCAGCGATCTATTTAAAATGTTATGGCTCTAAAATGAAAAGAGAATGGCTTTATAAAGTTTAGAACAAGCAATTTGCCAGATCAGCCTCATACCTAGGAGTTTAGTCCTTCCCAAGGTGATTGGAGACAGAACACCCGTGTATTTTTGCAAAGTTACATGTTCTTCCAATGATGGCAATTTGTTAAACCCACAAGCCTTACAGAGTACCTACTATGCACTGGCAATACGGGAAAGAATAAGACAGGCCTCCTCTCCTGTTACACCATTCAATAGGGTCCAGTTCTTCCTATTTCCTAAAGAAATCAGGGAAGTTTCTAAGAGAAGGTGGTAACACAGCTGTGTCCTGAAGGATGAGGAGGAGTTGTGACAAGACAGATGGAAAGGGCGTGTCAGACGGAAGGAACAGAATAAGCAAAGTCTCAAACATAGACGAGAGGGCAAAGAGAACAAGAGATGTTCTCCATTACTCAGAGTTAAAGCAATAAGAAAGATCTGACAGCTGAGTTCCGTGGTTCAGCCTGTAATTCCAGCACTTTGGGAGGCCGAGGTGAGAGCACTGCCTGAGCCCACAGGTTCAAGACCAGCCAGGCAACTTGGTGAGACTCTGTCTTTATAATAAATAAAAAATTAGCCGGGTGTGGTAGCACACACCTGTAGTTCCCTCGACTTGGAAGGCTGAGGCGGAAGAATTGCCTTAGCCCAGCAGGTTGATGCTGGGGTGGCCGTGAACATGCCACTGCACTCCAGCCTGGGTGAGTGAGACTCCAACGCAAAAAAAATTAATAAATAGAGTAATAGGAAAGATCTGCAGGAATGACAAGCGAGAAGACTGGAAGTAGAATCAAGAGCCAGAGTATACATGACTTCTTCATCAGACTGAATCTTAATCATGGTACAAGCAAAGTCACACTACAAAAAAACTTTAAGCAACAGAGATGACCACATGGGTTTCATTTGGTTGAAACGCTCCAGCATATCATAATCTTTAATATATATTTAGCAAAGTGTTTTTACTTATTTATTTAAAATGTTATTTATCTAAAATGTTTATTTGATTATTTTAAATTTTATTTATTTATTTTAAACTTGATTGATTGAGTAGAGGTCTCTCACTCTGCCGCCCAGTCTGGAGTAAAGTGGCACAATCATGCCTCACCACAGACTCAACCTCCTGGGTTCAGGCGATCCTTCTGCCTCAGCCTCCCAAGTAGCTGGAACGAAAGCTAAGCATCACCACACACTCAGCTAACTTTTTTGTTTTTTTATAAATATGAAGTCTCACTATATTCCCCAGGCCGGTCTCAAACTCCTGGCTCAAGCAATCTTCCTGGTTCACCCTCCCAAAATGCTGACATTACAGGCATGATCTATCATGCCTGGCCTAGGCAAAGTCTATTTAAAAGCATATTTAATATATTCTCTCATTTGAACCTTTTAACCATCCCATGAGGTTGACACTGCATCTACCTTCCTACTGATAAGAAAACATATCCTGCAGAGATAGGTGATTTACTTTGTGTCTTATGAGTAAATAATAACACACAAATTCAAACCCAGGTTCACTGGGGTCTGTGTTCAGCATTTACCTCATCGGGTAACAGAATTCTCTAGACAACAGCTACCACAGACCGCTTTCAGATTATGTACCAGGTCAAATGGTCTCCAGCTTCTACAGAAAGTCTTGGTGGCCAGAATTGCCTAGACCAGTACGGATTCTGAGCTAATGGAATGGACACTTGAATGCTTTCAAAAATAAAAGCAGATTCCAGGGGCAAAGAACCTCAGTTACATTCTGGATGCCTTCAGTTAGGAGCTTGGAGTTTACTGTTGCTATAGTCTACTAAACCACAAGCAAGAAAAGTTTCCAGCTGGAGGAGATCAGAAAGACAGCTCATCCTTCCTACCCATACCTTGAGCTCGTCTGCATTGTAGAAGTCCACGCGCACAGCAGGCACCATCCAGGTCTGGAAGAGTGTGGCCAGGATCTGCTCCGCGGTGGAGTCAGCAATGAGGTGGAAGTGCAGGGGGTTTCGTCTGCGGGGAGGGGGTAGAAAGGACAGTCAGAGGGAGCATTAAGGCCTTTGAAGTCCTACTGCAAAAACCACCCCTTCCTACTTCTTACATGAGGCTAGTTTCCATTGTGAACATAAATCAGGCATGTTCCCAAACCAGTACATCCTGTTGAGGATGTCAGGGTTAAAACAGACAAGAGACATCTCCCCCAACCTCAGCATTTCAGAGAGGTGACACCCAACCACCAACCATTGGTGGCATCCAATTCAAACCAATCACCACACCTATTACTAAGGTATCTGTGTTTCTAGAGCATACGTAACTATTTGGTCAACCTATCTACCACCTGGATATATCAGCTTCAATGCAGAAACACACCGACAGAGGGCAAAGGCTTTTTGACTGGCTGCAGGCAATTGGCGAAAGACTTCTATCACAGCACCATGATACGATCTGTCTTCTGCCTGTTCTTCTCCAAAAGCAAACCAGGCTTAAAGATGGAGTCATCAGAAGCACCCATTCCTAGGTAACAGCTTACCCTCACTTTCAGTATTTCTAAAGCTTTTCCTCAGTTAACCACAGTCAACCAGCTCTCACTGAAGCAGCACCCAGAATACATAAGAGCATGACACAAGGGCAAAGCTTCTGGCATCAAATGGAAATGGGCTCAAAACCTAGTTCTGACCATTTGCTCGTGGGAACCTTAAGCATGTCACTTACACGCCTGCATAGCTACATCTTAATTCTGTAAAATGTGAGAAAAGCTTCCTCATAAGGCTGCTTTGTTGAATAAGTGAGATATAAGTGTAAAATATGACACACAAAAAATAAATGTAGGATAATAGTAGCAGATATACCTTACTGAGCAACTGCTAGGCAAGGAGCAACAGGTCAGTCAGGAAGAACTACTCAATACTACTGTGCTACAAAAAATGATGACATAAATTGCAATACCATGAATGAACACCTAGAAATAAAGCACCATGAGAAATCCATAGATGAGAGTGACCTCTGATCGGAAGGAGCTCACGCTGTTCAGAGAGACAGATGAACCACCGTTAAATATAAACACAGGGCCAAATGTGATCAGGACTGCAAAAGAGCACAAAGTTCTCTGGGAGTCAAGATAAAGCAGGGTAATTCCGACCGGATCAGAAGGAAAGGGAAGCAGCCCTAAAGGACATGCATGGACAGGAGGAGAAGGGAGAGAGGATGCAATCCCAGGAGAGCAAGGGGAGACCCAGGTTGGGTGCACTAGGCGTGGGTTAGGGAGCAGAGATGCTTATCAGAGACTCTCAGGAGCAGAGGAGAGAGATGAGTGTGCCTGAGCATCTAAACAGTCCAAACCCCAGCAAGGTGTGTAAGACAGCAGAACCCACCCACCTCTTGCACCCAGCCTTCTGTGCAGTCCTGTGTTCCAGACACACAAAATGTCTCTCAGCTTCCTACACCTCCTGGGATCTCTACACCCTGGGCCTTAGCATATTTGGTTGGCTCTGCAGGGAACCCTCTCACAGTTGCTCACTCAATAAATCCTTACTGAGCACATGCTATGTGCCAGGCATTGAGCTGCCGCATCTTCCTGTTCTCAGAGTACATAGTCCTACACCCTTCACCTCCCCACTCAGCACTTGGAGATCTCCTAGCCTGCACTGGGGCTGCCATCGTTTGCTCCTAGAATTCTTTCCTGGCTAGCCAGGTCTAGGTTAGGGGCCCTTCCTAACTGACAGTTATCTCAGCCCTCTGCTCCTACCTACCCACCCTTATACAGTGTCTGCCTGTCCATGTCCCCACTGGGAACTGAGTAAAGTCAAGGATCACATCAGGTATGGAATGAGTAGCCCCATGATCTACAGCTCAGTGCCTGGAATACAACAGGAGTTTAATAAGTGAAATGAATGGATTATGGGTGGTGGGTTGTAGGCAGGTATGGGGAACAGATGTGGGCATGTCATTTAGGAGATTATTTACACTAGGTGGATGTGAAATAAGAATGTATCTGACTTAGTGCCCAAGGAAAAGCAACAAGGAAGCTGAGTCCAGAAGATTTCAGGAGATCAGATCTTAGCTACGGGGGGAAAAGCAGAGAGAGAAGGGGACACTGAGGGTCCCAGTGGCAATGTTGTCAGGACAGGGGATACAATAAGAAGACATACTGGAGAAAGATGACAAGCTCGGGATCAGGTGTAACATGGCGAAGATGGGAGGGGCAAGGCCAGTGGTGCAGCTGGATGGGTGAGTCTAGACCTGAGGAAAGTTATCCAAGGCCAACCCGCCATATACAGAGCAGGTGCTTCAGGGTGATCAACTAAATAAATGAGTCAGAGAAGCAACAGTATTGCAGAATTCTCCATGGGAGCCAATGCCTGAATGCTGCAGATACTTCATAAAACCCTCTGTGTTGAGGGAAGGGGCACACCCGCCCAGAGCTTCCCTAAACGTCCCATAAGAAGCTTCCCTATTGGGTCTCAGGGTGCTTAGTCACATGAAGAGACAATGGCATGTCTTTCACTGGCCATGACATACCTAAAGGCTAAACCAGAGGCAGAAAGATGAAGTCATTGGGAAGACAGGTGGTCCATTTAGCCCAGTGTGGGCACGTCTGTCCCCCAGGGCCACAGGAGTTACATGAAGCCTTATTCATGGAGAATAAATAAAAGTAAGCCTATATAACTGTCAACATGCATCTTCATCCTCGGTGGAGGAACAGCTTCATTTTTGCCATGAGCTGGACCAATACTAGATGGACCAAGCCAGTTATATTTGCTCCTTGTACCAGCTACTATGTCACACTTTGCATACCCTGTATCCGTGCTTGTGTTGTTCTCGCTCCATGGAATACCCTGCGCCTACTTGAAGCCCCATGAATTCCTGTTCATCATTCAACACTCCCTTTGCAAGTCATCCTCCCCTGGAAACCTTCTCTGAGCCTTCCTTCTGTCTTTCTCCTGCTAACTCTGCACCGTGTGTGAAAAGTTAATCTACCACCTGTAGCAAGCCATCAAGACACATATCAGACCCTGGCTCTTTGTCTCTACTGTAAGGCCCCAAGGACAGAAACCATCTTTTCATTCTCATTCACAGTATCCAACAAAGAGCAGGGCAAGTAATGGGGCCTCAATAAACGTTCCTGCCACAGAACAGATGGCCAATGCTCCTCCTTTTATGTCACCGTAAACACCACCACAGATGGTAAAAACAGTGAATGGCACACTTTGCTATTGATAGTTCAGAGTTTGGGGTCTGCTCTAGAATGGCTGCAATGTTCACTGAGTGACCTTAAGAAAGTTACTTCATCTCTCAAGGCCTCAATGTTCCCATCTTCAAAACCAGAACAGTAAATGGCAAGTAATATTGCACTTGATAACTGTACAGATAAACCGAGGAAATATATATAAGGAGCTTAGTAAAGTACCTGATACATGGTAGGATTTCAATAAATATTATCTATTATCAATTTTAACTTATGCTACTGCTATTTTCTCATTAACTTTTGTATCATCTTTCCAATAAAGTATTTTCAATTAGTTCATCCATCCATAAACAAAAAGTATATTGAATGAATATATGTCTGACAAAAACTATTAAGCAATAACTATGTGCAAGGTACAGCAGGGATGTGAACGAGGGATGAGCTGAGAGTGCTCTCTTCAAGCAGCTTACAGAAGTAGAGAAAGACAGGACACAAAACACTACACAAACTGAAGAGCATGCAGTGCCACCACACCGGGTTACTATACACAATTGCAGAGCAGGGGGAGTGGCCCACCTCCCAGGGAGCCATCTGCAAAGGCTGACTTAGACAGGAATGTGCAGGATACTCTTAGGGTTGGATGGTGTACAACCTGCACATCTGTCTATACAGGATAACTCTGCAAGGAGGAACATGAAAGCCACATGGTTGTGAGGACAGAAGAGATGACTTCCCAGCAGGGGAGAATCTGGAAAGTTTCCATGAACTATATGACATTTAAACTGGAACTCTGGAAGGGTGAAGGCAGAGCCGGTGAGAGAGGCATTCTGCAGATGTACAACTGACCCTTAAGCAACACAGGTTTGAACTGCACGGGTCTACTTGCACATGGACTTTTTTCAAGCATACACAGAGTGGGAAACCCAAGTATAGGAGGGTCAACTTCTCTCACCGGCAGATTCTGTAGGGCTCACTGCAAGACTTGAATATGTATGGATTTTGATACACGCAGGGGGTCCTGGAACAAACCTCCCATGGATACCGAGGGACACTATCCAAATAAAGAATGGAACAGAGGTGGGAAATACAGAGCATGTCTGTGAAAGAACGATAGCCTTATTCAGGTAGATCATAACAACATTTATTGGACACCTGCTGTATGCCAGGAATGGGCGGATACAAAGAGAGATGAGTCTTAAGAGCAAGTGAATTCCTAAGAACCGCAAATTTCATTCTCCAAGAGAAAGAGTCAGGCAAGTTTGGAGGCTCGGCAGGCAGCAGATGGAATTTGCAGTTCCGGGAAGTAAGAACCTAGATACAGAGCCGAAGTGGGACCAGCATGGGGTAAGAGGAACAGGCGCTTAGAGGAAGATGCGGCAAACATTCAGATGGGGCTTCCTCCTTTCATGTTTTCTTCCTATGGTCTATTTAAAGTCTCTCTCCAGAAGGCAGAGTCAACCCCAAAAGAATTCTCATCTCTATGACAATAGTAGGTACCTGCATTGTCAAAGGGCTTAGTGTGGCTCAGTGGCTCCCCTCATTAGAATATGAAGATGCTTAATTAGAGGACACACGGGGCCCAAGGCCCAGGTGACCACTGATACCCTGGCAGTCTGCTGTCAGTGTCTCAGCAGGCTAACTAGTGGCAGTCCATGACTCACTCCTGTCAGGTGGCATGTTCAAGGGGTCCTACTCATGGTTCACTTTGGGCACCATCATGAGAATGTGGGACCCTCACCAGACCGCGGTTCCTGTTAGTACAATTCTCTAAGGCCCACTAAGCCATGGTACATACAGCTGAAAACACTGCCTAGACCACTTTTCTTGG